TGGGCTGATTAGGTCCATGGTTAATATATCCTCCCTGTGTAAAAGACAGTAAATCGTCCATTAATGTATTCAATTCACTTCGAAATTGACTAATCTTTTCCATTTGTGTATGCTGGCTTTCTCTCAACTGTTGGAGACTTTCTTCTGGTTTTTTTTCTCGTTCTTCTTGTTTTCTTTCTTGTTCCAGTTGCCACTGGTGCTGGTTTTCTTGCCACTGCTGTTGTCTCTCTTCTTGTTTATTTTCTTTCTCCTCCAACCACTGCTTTAGTCCCTCTTCTTTTTTATTTTCTTTCTTCTCTAACCACTGCTGTAATCTCTCTTCTTGTTTATTTTCTATCTCCTCCAACCACTGCTATAATCTCTCTTCTTGTTTATTTTCTTTCTCCTCCAACCACTGCTTTAATCTCTCTTCTTGTTTCTTTTCTCGTTCTACTTGTTTCTTTTGGTGTTCTTGTATTACTGCCATCAAATCTGCTAAGCTGTAGTTTGATTTGCCATTTCTCGTTTCCATCTTTTATTTTCTTTTTGGTCTCACTCTCTGACATTAATTTGTTATGTATCTGCTCGTTTGTTACTTTCCGGTATAAATTCTTTCTGAGGAACTTCAACGATAGAAGTCCTTTCCTAATTAAAACTAATTTATTCTTTCTCGATACAACTTTGTAATACACAGAATTTCTACAGTCACTACCGTTCACTTGACTCAATTATTTATATCTATCTCTTCAATTCCGCTGGTTTTTCTCGCTAGGCTTATATACTAAAAAGAGGGCGTCTCGAATGCACTCGGGCCTTCATGATCATTCGTGAAATTCTAGCGTGCATTCTCCCAGAATCACGCGACTTCCTCTGTCGTAATATCGGTATTTCTAAACAACAACCCAAAATTACACTACTTTCAGTAAAGAAATGATGTTACTGAAGTTTACAATCTTATATGCAGAGGATTTTATAGGATAAAGACCTCTGATTTTCTTTGAAATACTATATATTTTACTAACAACAGGACAAGTTTAAGATTTAGAAAAAAGACTGGCTAGACTCCAGTTAAAACACTTATTTTTCTAATAGGGTGACTGACCTGTGACATTATGTAATGAGTTGTCATTAGCTGTTCTGGAGGAGGTTAATACGAAATTAATGATAAAAGCTTGGAATTTAAAATGGTGGGTTTAACTTCTCACTTTTCCCAAGGGTGGGTGTACAAGAGCAACCTTGAATGACCAAGTAGTCTTTTTGTTGTTAAAAGTTATGTTATGTTAAAAAGTTGTAAAGAGTTCTGTGTCTCTGATAGTGACATGATGAAGGACTTCTGTTTTCAGGAAATAGTGCAAAACAAAACTGCCTAGCCTAAAACGTTTACTTGTAATAGGGTCTGGGCTTAACATGAAAAAATAGGAAATTAATGCGGGCTGGGTATGTAATTTAAAAAAAATAAAAAGCGAGTAATTGTAGACAATAAAAAGTGAAGAGCAAAGTAAACTAGACTAAACTAAACGGCCGTTATCGGACAGATGGTCCATCAGGGCGGCGGGGATCTAAAAATCCTATGCCGAGAATTTAATGTGGGTGAAACGGGAGTACCCCGTGAAAACCCACTTTCACTGGTAACGACTGATTCGTTACCAGTGCCCGATTAATGAGAAGAAGTAAGTAGGGAAGGCAAAGTGAAGGCCGGTGCTGGGGGTTGATTAATTTTTGAAACTGTTGTGGAGTCTCCTGGGGTTTATCATGGATTTAAATTGGCATAGTTTCTGGTTCCGGGCAGGTGGTAAAGGCGTAGGGCTCTCGGTGTCGTTGGTGAGAGAGCGGAAGACTGAGAAAGGTTCTTCGGGTAGGTAGAGATCGGGGGAGGTGTCGATTACTAAGGCGTTCGGTGAGTTAGACGCCGATGATGTAGAAAGTGGCTTGGGGCTGGGAGGCGTGTTGTTGGTCTGTTGATAGGCGTGTGTGGTAAATGGTGGCTGGGTCTGGGTACCTTTTTTCCTCCTGGTAGTGGTGGTTTGGGTAGACATATCTTGTGTTTCAGGAGTGGGTGAGGTTTGAGTAGCTTGATCTGTTGTTTTAGGATGGGCGGTAGAGTACTGGTTGGCGGCGGTTATCTTTTGGGTGTTGTGAAACGTGGGCATGGGGGTGGGTTAGGAAAGGTATGGGGTGGGTGAGGCTTGCGATAAGGTTTTTCTGCCTTGAAGTGATGATAATCAAGGAAGCGGCCGTAGGTGAGGATGAGATCTGCTGTATGTTTTGAAGTTGTGACAACTTTCATAAGCGTTGAGGGTGAACTGGATGCGGTGGACTGCGTGGATCGTGGAATTTGTTGTAGTTTTCAGGGCTTGGAGTATTTCTTCTGGCGTAAAGGATAGATGAACGTTCCGGAGAAATATTGTGTGGAGACTGGCATTGCTTTTGGGGGGTTGGCAAGTGACGGGAGGATTTGAAGACCATCGGCGGCGAAGGCATGTAGGTATGAGCCATAGAAGAGTTTTACATTTACTTTTGAACATCTGAAGCGTTCAACGACACCTGTTGAAATAACGGATATGCCAGCTAAATTACTTGTCCATTCAGGATACATCAGGCCTTTCTTTGCGATAGGCCTATACACAATGAGTTAAGAGCCTCGTTTTGATTTTTCGAGAATGGGGCATGAATAGAGAGAATAGTACATCCACATCATTTTCAAAAAGTTTAAAGATATACAATATACATTTAATACATAAACACAAAATAGAAAAGTAATGTCTCCCTAATAGTTCATTCAAATTTTATTTCAATATATCACTGGTTCTAATGACTTACCCCCCGACACACCACCAGGGCTTCGTATTGTTGCGTCAGCGAGGTCACGTGACTAGTGTCACGCGACCTTTCTAGAACTATCTTGTTCCTTCGTGAATGCCCTAGCATTTACTAGATATATGTTTGTCTGGTATATATATATATATATAAGACGCTCACAACGTGACAACAATGTGTGTGTAGGTAGTGAGTAATTGATCTGCAGTCACAGGGTATTGTTGAAGTTAACGTTCGTTATAGCGTTTGTTTTAGCGCGAATGTTGAAATTAATGTATCTTAAAGTTATATTCAGAAAGAATAAACCAGTTTTATTAAGTAAGGACTTGTGTCGCTAAAGTTTCGTTGGAACGAAGTTACGGAAAATTAACTGACAAACGGAAACGTAACAAATTGGTGTCAGAAGTGGAACGAAAAAAAATGGAAACGAGAGGCGGAAAATCAAACTACAGCTTAGCAGACTTGATGGCTGCATTACAAAAGCAGCAAAAGAAACAAGAAGAACGAGAAAATGAACTAGAAAAGAAACAAGAAGAACGAGAAATTACAGCAGTTGTTGGAGGAAAAAGAAAGGAAACAAGAAGAGAAATTACAGCAGTTGTTAGAGGAAAAAG